TATTTGGATGAGTACTTAATGTCATGGCATTACAAAAAACACCCTACAACAATTTATAAATATTGATATTCTTATCATTTTAGATATTAATATCAATTATGTCTCATTTAATACCGTCTACTATATGGTATTGATTTATGCCAAGTACAATTGTTAGATATCAATAATACCGTGACTTGTAACTTGATCTAAACTTAATAGTCAATAATAATTGAATTAATTTAATCTGATCTCATCGTTTCCCACCTCAATCAATCATGCCATTAATGTTTGGTTATCTTACTAAAATTTTAGCAGCCATCAGTCTTCTGCCGTACCAGCGGAGTAGGTTTTATCCTACAGGACTGATCGTGACGCTGTTTGGATCATTATAATATGAGCTCTAATAATTGGCGCTATGAAGTCTATTAGCTTATCTTTATCATCATCTGTGGGGGTGTCAAAATCTTAACTTTTTCAATATTACTATATATTAATAATATATATATATTAATAAAAGTGATATATATATATATATGTGTGAGAGAGAGAATACATTTAGGCGAGGGCATCACATGAAACCAAACCCTCCCGGTGTACATTCACACATCCTAACACATATCCTCTCACTAAATGTGGACTCGTATCTATGGAATCAAACCAGAAAACTTTTCTAAATTAAGCTAATTCTAGGAAGTTAGACAGACATTATCTAATTTAGGGATTTTAAATATTTGATTACTCACAAATTTCGACTCTATCATACTTTATCTAACGTTACTGAACAGCTACCTGAAAGAATCAAATAGGCCAACGAAAGATCTTTTGATATTTTACAAAAAATCGGATAAAAATGTAAAATACTTTTAAATTTTTGTATTCTTATCCCACCTTACCCTACCATATATATTATCGAATTTATTATCTTTTCTTTAGTGTTATTGGTTTATTGTATTAATTAATTAGTGCATGTTATTTAATTAAATTGTTAAAATAATCTAAAAATTAATAATTAAAAAATATGTGTTCAACCGATTTCCTACCCGATTATTTTGGACAGAATTTGGGTAGTAATAATATACTTGATAGGATAGAGTAAATCAAGAAAAAATTCTTTCGTAAAATATCAGGTAAGAAGATAAAATACCATAATTTCTACTGGTAGAATAGGGTGAATACCCTTAATCAGTTTCTTGGAATTGTTTGTCAGCAGTTTGCCCTACTTGAAAATTCTTGGAAGACGTTATTGCTCAGTATTTTATTTTCTGCATAATCCAAACTTTAGGACCTAATTTTCGATTATAGAAAACGAAATTTGATTTACAGGAGAATATTAGTATTAATTACTAAAGCAGTGTCCAATTTAAAAGCAACAAAAATAAAGGAAATTATGTTACTAGACCCCCTGTTGTTTATGAAATTGTTCTGAGGTGGGTATCTGATACAATATGTCACATCAAAAGGATGTCAGTGTAATTTCATAAAAAAGGGAGGTGCATTGAAAGTGTTAGAAACAATAAGGAGTGTCAGTTTAATTTACCATATACTTTTTTAATCTGATTATGTATCCACATGCCCAGTCATCTAGTATGTGGGTTTGAAGGACACATTGAGCCCAACTTCAACGTTGGATTCTCAATTAAGGCCCAAGATCCCAGATGGAGAGATCTCAGTGTTAAATCGGCCCTTCACCAGAGAGGCCTTTTTTTTTTTTTTTTTAGAGAGTGGCCTTTAACTGTTGAGCAACGTTCAAAAGTCCAGTAATTCTAGCACTGAGTGGGACAGGCGACTGAACTACCGGATTTGAAGTTAGAGATTTAAGAATTCATAATAGAGTTCGATGGTTAATAATAATACTAACTTAGTTAAATTTGTTCTCGAGAGGAGTAACAAACATAATTAAGAGTCTCGTGATTCCATTAATGAGGACTTGTCAGAGTGGTTTGTGAGTACTCTTTTTTTTATGACACCCCTTTTTTCAATTAAAAAAAAAAAAAATCCTGAGATTTTAGCTTTTAGGGCTATTTTCATTAGAATGATCGACTGAAATAGATGTTGGTCAAAAATTTTTTTTCCCTTCACTTCTTATCACTGTTTTGAAACCCGGCTGAGGGGTTATCCGGTAAACCGGAGTCTAAACCGGATCAGTTCACTTATAGAATTGTTTGTGCACCAAAACCGGATTAAACCTGCTTAACCGGATAAAAACTCACTTGTCGACCGTCAACGACCCTCTCAGCCGACACTTCTCTCTCTCTCTGTGCGCCGCGAGCAAGCAAGGGACTCCTCAATCGAAGTGGATCGAGTGAAGGAACAAGAGCTTCGAACAAGAAGGCTGCTTCAGAGCTTCCATAGAGGCTTCGACGACTACCATTGACAATAGCAGGTACAAACTCTCTCTGTCTCTGGTTCTCTCGATCTCTCTTTCGGTCTTCTCTAGTTTCTGAGTCTCGGCTACACAATTTCTCTCTCTCTCTTTCTCTCTCTCTTCGTGTATATATATATATATATATATATATAGTTTATAGTATTTATATGTTTTGTTAAGTTAAAATTTGGGTTGTACATTCAATAATTAAATAATTTATACATGGATAATTCAATGATTTATACACTGACTCGATGGTTAATTCAATGATTTACACGCTGACTCGATGGTCAATTCAATGATTTATACATTGACTCAATTTATATACAGATTAAGCATTTTTCTCTAATTTAACTTTATAAGTTGAATTGAAAATTGAATGCATTTAATATATATTTGATGATTTTTTTGTACTTAATTTTATTTTGATAATTATTGTGATGCTTTAGTTTATTTATAATTTGTTATTATATTATCGGTCTAACAAATTAACAAACGGTTGAACCAATATTCTTTTGATCCAATCTCTTTGCCGACTTGATGTCTGGCCGAGTTTTAAAACTATGCTAATGATCAGAAGCATCCAAGAGGATTATTCCGGCAGATAAAGTGAAATTACTAAGCTAAACTACCATTAAAAAACTCAGTAGAAACCATTTGCTGGTTCCTGCTTTTTTAGGCTTTACAGTAGCTCTCTTTTATATAAGATAGGATAGAATGAAAAATGAGGCATCTTCCGCTTCCCGAGAAAGAGGCACACATTTTAACAATTTATCGGGATAACTACCTTTGGCTTAATATAGTCATAAAACAAACCTTGTCACTTTACTGTTAAATCAGCCCGTAATTAACAATGTGCGTGTGTGTGCATACATATATATATATATATATATAATAAGCTGTGCCATCTATACATGACGCGGAAACCCATTTTGTCGGCATATACTAAATAGATTCACGGGTAGAGGAAGTATTTAGAACTTCTGTAACTCAATGAACTCACTCTTGCCTAAGAGTTTAGACCATTCCAGCAGTAAACTAAAGACTTTGTTAGAAACATTTTCCATTAGTTAGAAATAAATATGTCATAGAGCAAACGCCAATAAACTCATTTGATTGTGACATAAGAAACTCTGTGAGACCACAATGCTACAACACAATTAATGCAGTGACCACTCTACTGCTACCCTAAAGGATCAACTAACCCCACTGGTAAAATCAATCATTTCAATCTTATCCATGCCCATGGTGGACAGTATGGCAACTATATCCAAAAGAGGCATCCAACTAAGTGCATGAATGTGTGTGTGTGAGAGAGAGAGAAATAGAAGAGTTATTCAGTGATATTTCTTTGAAGGACTTTTTGTTTTTTTTTTGGCTTGGAAAAAGGTGGTCAAGAGGTGACCAGACGTAGAAATCTCCGGGGCATTACCTTCAAATTTTTATTTATTATAGAATGTTTGATTTGAACTATTATTACTCACTTGGAATAGTCAAGTCTCTCACCATAGTACCTAGTAAGTTGGACATTCAACTCTTCCAGACTTTTGGGAACTATTACTACTGTAGGCGAGTTCAAATCTATGACAATTAAAAGAAGGGGTGACTTTTACTTTTTCTTGAATCTAACTATTGGCCTAAATCATAGAGTTTTAAATCTTATACGTGACATGAGATTCATTTAAGTCATCATTGGGGACAGAATGAAAGGAGAATTAAGCAGTCGCGAGAGAGAGAGAGAGCGAGATTCACTTCAAACAAAAAGAATGATTTATTGAGATTTCATTCCAAGATAGTTCCCCGACTCTGTGGAGGTTGTTGTATTTCATGTAGATTCATTGGCATGAAGCCGATTTATTTACTGTTTGTTTGATGCATTGAATAGATTTTCGAGTGATGCAGCGGTACCCGTCTCCAACCGTATAGAATAAGAAAAAAAAATCACTAATTTTATTCACATTATATCAACTGAACTTGTTAGTTAGTCATGTCAACATTCAGCTCTTTATGTTTGGTTTTTTTTAAGTTTAACGGTCAGGGTGTCTACGTCAATTAAACACATCTTGACAAATTTTTTCTCTGGTCCGGTCAAAGGTGGACCATTCACATTGAAACTAGACTATTCACGAAAGATAAATCCGTCATTGCCTAATACTAAGAGATTACTAAGATTCAAACTTAAAGATGTTTGATAATTTTGAAATAACACTATTTGTAAATTTATCTATTAAACTATGCCACTTGTTAAAAAGTGGAATTAATAATCCCATTTTTAATCTTTGGTCGGACAAGGTTATTTAGTGCTTATATAAAATGAGGGTATTAAATTCAATGAATTTACTTTTAAGAGCAGAGTCAATAATTTCGCTTTCTTAAAAATTGTTGTAGTTTTTATAAAAAAATTCAAAAGGATAATTTTATTTCAAAATTATAATAAATTGATAAATGATTCAACAATTTAGTGGGACCTTAGGCAAGAAGCCTTAAAATCAACTTAATGATGACATTACTGGTACAAGAAGGACAGACTGAGGGAAAAGGCATTTGTCGTTTCAACCAAAAAAACCCACAAAAGTAGTTGACGTTTAAGACATAGTTAAGAAAGAAAGAGATATATAGCTTTGGATTTCTGGTGGGTGTGGGGTATGTTATCCATTATGGTTGAGTGGAAAGAGAGGAGGAGGAGTGGCCACACCTTCAAGGGTCATGTGATTTTGGAGCTTTATTTAGACAGACAGGACTTGTGGGCATTTGTCTGTGTGGAAGAAACTGGGAGTGTCTAGTCGAAAATTGGGTTTTAATGACCTTAAACTGAGTGATAATTTGTCTCCGTGCAGAGGACACTGCTGGAGAGATCACATCACGGATAACTTTCAGTACTAGTTCTGCTTTTTCATCAGACATGAAAGAGTCCAAAATCAATGGAACAGAAAAGAGGTATCTTAATCTCACATAGTTCCACTTTATTGAAAATAAATTTGTTTCTAATTCGAATTGTGTCAAGTGGTGTCATCTTAACCTCACGGTATTGTTTTCAGGTGTGCTGTTGTTACGGGTGGCAACAAAGGAATTGGATTGGAGATATGTAGGCAGCTAGCCTCTAGTGGGATTAGAGTCATTTTAACTGCTAGGAATGAGAGAGAGGAATTGAAGCTGTTGAAAAACTCAATGATTGTGGACTCTCAGATGTGATGTTCCATCAACTTGACGTAAAAGATCATACCAGCATGGCTTCTTTGGCAAAATTCATAAAAACCAACTTCGGAAAACTTGATATCCTGGTGAGAAAACAATGCACTCATAAAATGGCTACATGCTTTATTTCAGACCCATTTATGTGTGTGTTTGTGTCACAGATAGAGAGAGAGAGAGAGAGAGTTGAACAACCGGTATGCTGTATATAACCACCAAGAAGTTCCAAAACATCAATTCTCTCATAAAATAAATGGCTTAGTTTCTTTCTGTCATCATATCAAGCAGTTTGTACTTTGTACATCTGCATATAACAGCAAAGCAGATGATGATCTGTGCATAGATTTTCACATTTTTTTTTGGTTTTTTGGTTCCAAAGTCCGGGGATACCTCGACTAATCCCTTATCTCGTTCAATTAATTCCTTCACGTTAAAATTAGGATATTCATAAAATATAAATTATTCATGGTCTGACTTTAACGGATTATCAAGATTCAAACTCAATATATCTAGATTTAGAGTTTGTCTTTGTTATCACTTGAATTACCTGTTAAACCAAAACATTTTTTTTATGTAAAAAAATTAAATTTTTGGTCGCCTTTGAACCTAAATTAAAGTGAGACTCATTCGTTGTTTCAAGTAAAATTTTGTGGGTTCGTATTCTACTCTGTGAGGAGAATAACGTAGTATATTCACTTGCTCAAATTGAGTAAAAAATTAATAAGAAAATAGACTCCGAAGTGATTATCTTGAAATGTGAAAATAGAGGTCGTGCAATGTGAGATTTGACACCAATCTCACACTGGTTGAGGAATAAATTCTACATAAGAATATATAGGCTAAATTTGTTCTATGAAATTAAGTCCCAAGGGATACCACAATTTTATGAGTGAAGCAAGCGCCTACATGCCTTTGGTTTTACCACACACGCGCGAGCGTGCCCCCACACCATGACCCAATCGGGCCAAGCTCGGGTGAGGGTGTAATTTAGATAAAGTCTTATCTTTTTGGAGAAAATTCGTTTAATTAATTGGGCGTAAATTTCTTAATTTGAAATTAATTTTCGATATCTGTTGGATCGCACTGGTTTGGATTTTTTTATTTCCCTCTAGTCCGAAATCTGAATTGTGTTTGTTCATTGAGAACACTTACACAAGTGGTGTCTTCTAGCTACATGTGTCTGCTGGGTCGCATCCGTTCAGAGGGTAACTATCTAGATCAGTCATCATTCTCTTTATAAATAACCTAGTCACATAATCATTTTGCATCCAATTCATTCTTATTCTTTTAAGGCAGTCTCATACATCATTAAGACAGTCTGTATTTGAAGAGTACACAACACAATTTTTGATTTGCTGAAGGAGTAGATTAGAGTGTTACTTTACTCGTGTGAAGATCATTGTATCATGAGAGGCAGATGCTTGATATTCCATAAGTATCGTGTGTGAGGCGAAATCTGTCTTAAAGACATAGTGTCAAACAATAGTTTTGATCTACTTAAAGTTTAATAATGGTTTTTGTTCTGTAAACGAGTTAGTATTTATATTGGTTAAACAAACAGTTACGTGTAACTGTTTCGGTAAGACTGTTGTAACTATTTCGTTAATTCTTCTATGGGGGCGAAATCTGCTTAAAGATATAGTGTCAAATACTAACCTTGATCTATTTAAAATTCAATAACGATTCATATTCTGCAAACGGATTAGTATTTATATTAGTTAAATAAATAATTACGTGTAACTGTTTCGTTAATTTTTCTATAATTGTTTCAATTTTCTGTTTAACTGTTTTGTACTTGATTTTTACTGTTTTGTTATACATTACATGTTTCAAATCAGAAATTTAAATAAATGATTTTACTATATTTAGAATACCACAAACAACACTACCCCTTAGGTTTACCTAGATTTTCACCTTTTCCGCCTCTTTTAGTTCCCTTTTGCCCACTCTCCCTTGCATGGTTCTGCAAGCGGAGGAGAAACCGTGAGCATTACCATGTACTTGTATTGTATTTCAGTCACCTTGTTCTGTTTTGCTAGTTTTTCACCCATCCCATGCCCTTAGAATTCTTATTTCCCAAATCAATGCAATTTCAAACTTATTTGTCACATTCATGCTTTTTAAAAAAAAAACGTTGTTCCAAATGATGCTTACCGCACAGATTATCCCACTGTTTGTAGACCATAGTAAACATTATTTTAATATCTGTGAAAATGTTAGTTGGAATAATGTTTTTCAAAAAGGGCGTGGGTATAAGAAATAAGTTTGAAAATGCCGTGAAGTGGGAAAATAAGAATTCTAAGGGCATGGGATGGGTTAAAAACCTGTTTTGCAGCAAGGCATCGGATGATAGGAAATTGAAGATTTGCTGAAAACAAGAGACTCAACAATTTAATTGCTAGTATTTTCGGGTAGTGTTCCGTCGTGAGCTAAGTGCTGCCCTATCTAGGTAGTTGGCTCTACCTCTATCCTCTAGGACGGCTAGGCTTAAGCACTAGGAATACTGAACAAATCAACACAGGGTGCTCCTAAATTGGCTCACAACAGTTATCTCCTGTAGCTTCAAGTTACTGTGGATGTTTAACTTTTATGCAGGTCAATAATGCTGCGGATGGTGGACTTGTCATGGACATTGAAGCATTTAGAGCCTTCAAAGATGGAGCTGGGTTTGTAAGTAGTTACAACTCTCATGTAGCTTTCTATGAAATAAAATCCTCTCTCTATAATGGGATAGGAAGGGCAAAGTGACTAAGTTATCTTCAATTCGACTAGTAAACCAGTATATGTTTCAGTGCAAAAGGAAAAAAAAGACCTCTCCTACTACATTAGTCTTCAAAAAGTAATCAGATCAGTATTTTTCTGTAAGAAATTCTCCAACGATAACTCTGTGGCTTGGCTAGATGGAGGTGAAAGATGAGAATGCCCACTTGTTGGATGGAATTATGAAGCAGACTTATGAAGGGGCTGAAGAGTGTCTCAGAACAAACTACTATGGAACTAAAGGAGTCACTGAAGCACTTCTTCCACTTCTTCATCTCTCCAATTCAGCAAGAATAGTCGATGTCTCTTCTAATTATGGACTGCTAATGGTAAATATGCTATCAAATGACTCATGCTTGATTGGCATAAATAAAGAGATACATAGTGCTATGCTTACCAAAAAAAATTGTGGAACGCACATTAACTTTTTCTGATGAAACCCACTGATCCAACCATTAACTTTTTCTAATGATGTTCAGTTTCTGTCGCAGTTTATCCTCAATGAAGAGCTCAAAGCAGAACTGGAAAATGTTGAAAGCCTGACAGAAGAGAAAATAGACAAGATTGTGCAGTGTTATTTGAGGGATTTCAAGGAAAACAAGTTACAGGCTAATGGTTGGCCTCTCACAGTATCAGCTTATAAAGTTTCAAAAGCTGTCACCAATGCCTATACAAGACTACTAGCAAGAAGATTTCCTAATATCCTTGTCAATTGTGTGCATCCTGGGTATGTCAAAACAGACATTACAGGTAACATGGGACACTTGACCCCTGAGGAAGGTGCTAAAACTCCTGTAATGGCAGCCCTGCTGCCTGATGGAGGTCCTTCTGGTGTCTTCTTTAGTGAGATGCAGCTTTCTACATTTTAATATAATTAGTCCCAATTGTCATCGTATAGTTGGGATAAAGAATTTGTTGAGTTTACGATCCTGGTCGCAAAAAAACAAAAAAAATCATAATATTTTGCTAGTTTATTGCCTTGTTCTACCCCTTGTTAGCAAAAAATAAAAATAAAAATGTTGTGTTGTGTTGTATTGTATTGTATTGTTCTGAGAAATTCTCTCTAAATAAATGGTCTGTATGTCCTATTCGGTGTGTTTTGGGCTATACTGTTATCTTGCATTCTTTGACAATAAATTCTATTTATTTACTGTGGAATTATGTAGTACTTGACATCAGATATATCGTATTTCATATTCGAAAGCTAGAGTGACCAAAACTTAAGGCCTTGTTTGGATGAATTTTTAGGGAGGGTTTGGATTAACTTTTTCAAACACTTCTAAACCTAAACTCCTCTTTTCAAATATGAGATTCAACATTGAATCCCGTTTATACTCATATTTGTTATGTAACACAATACACATGTAGAAGTTACGGATATATCATGATTATTAACAACTATTTATTTTGTAAATGACTATTTTATTTTTGATCAATCTAATTCGTACTCATGTTAAAGGGGTATAATTATTTTTTGCATCCTTAACTCTTTATTCCATCTTCTCAAACCCACCCTCTCCTTAGGTTTGACGAGAACGAAATTCATGATCATGAGTTTAATATTTGAGCCAATTACGGGCCAAGTTTGGAAACCTAGAATTAAAATTTTAATCCAAACATAGGGTTTGGGGATTCTTTAGACTTTTTTCTCCAAACCTATCTTATTAAACCCCCTCATACCTTTTACCAAACAGCTCCTAAATGCTTTGTACACCTTTATGTAATTCAAGTAAATCCGGCCAAGAAAATATTAATTGAATTTCATTGGTAGATCTAATTTGTGGTTGTATATCATTAATGACTTTCAATATTGAGTAGAATTTACTATCAATTCAAGTGACAATTAGAAATTATATAAGTGTAAATTAGACCCAAATATCATTAATTGGAGTCCAACTTCTAGTATCTTAACACAATTTCTGACTAATCAAAGCATAACTTTGGCCTAGATCGTTTAAAATTCGACGATTTATCCTACATTTATTTTTCAAATTTGTAACTACAATAAATTTACATATTTATATTTAATCTTCTCCAATAAATATTTTATTCATATTTACCTTTTAACCACAATAAATATTTTAACCATCCACTTCGATTTTAATTTAATTGCTAAATTTTTAATTGTTTCAATTTAGTCATTCAACTATTAATTGTCTCAGTTAACTCCTTTCGTTAAATTTTCACTGTTATATCAAATGAAAACATATGTTCTAACGGTGAAAATTGATGAGATCAAACTAGTCTCCGTTTGATCTAACGGTAAAAATAGACAGAAGGATTTAATTGAGACGAAATTCATAGTTGAGGATTAAATTAAAATACTTAAAAGTTCAAGGATCAAATTAAATTAAAATTAAAATTCAGATACTAATTATAATTTTTGTCCTTTATATAAACACCTAATTCAGACAACGAAGCAATGAATAGTAAAATTTTATTGCATTCTTGTATCCTTTGATGTTGTCAAAAATTTATAATATAAAATAGGAGACACTTCAATAAATTCATCTGACGGTCTCAAATAAAATCACTCAACGATCACCAACATAATTCTCAAAACTATTCACATTACAAGATATCTCCAGATACGAGTTAACCTTAAACGATTTGTTAACAATGTTTTACACGCCGCATGCAATTAGATTAAAGTGGATAATTTGAAGTCCCACTTTTGGTTTCTTTTCTAGTCACATTTTTTTTTTAAGTTATAACGGTTAGCGGTGTCCAAGCTTACTTACACACACTACGATTAATTTTTTTCTAGGTCTGATCAAAAATAAATCATCCACGTTAAAATTAAGTTATTTATAAAGATAAATCTCTTATAATCTAGCCTCATAAAATTGTCAAAATTCGAATTCAAGAAGTCTAAGTTTACAGTTCGTTCTTAATTGAAAAATATATATATATACAGTTCGTTTTTAATTACCACGAGACCTTAACCCCCAAAAAAATAATAATTTATTGATATATGGTTCAGAAGTAGAGTGGTCCCACATGAACAAACCACAAGAAGAATACAGGCATTTTTGTATTGTAGGCTTTGTAGCTAATGCAAGCTCGCCGGCACAGATAGATAATTAAAGGATTTTGGTAAATCAATTTTGTCTTATATTTCTATTCATCAGTCAAAATCAAAATTACTCAACAAGCAATTTCGTGGGACCCCTAGACCGTAAAATGAAAACATTGAGACTTGCCCAAAAAAAAAAAAAGCGACTGTGTGAGATGGGATAGAAAAATATACCCCATAGACGCAGTTCTGGGTTTTCATCAGACATGGAAGACATCCAAACCAATTCAACAGAAAAGAGGTACACTTGTCTTGATCCTCACGAGTTCCATCTCATAGAAAATGAATTTATGCTCTCAAATCGAGTCAAGTCGGGTCTTGTTGTGTCATCTTAATCCCACAAATATTGTTTCAGGTGTGCTGTTGTTACAGGAGGCAACAAAGGGATTGGATTCGAGATATGTCGGCAACTAGCATCTAGTGGAATTACAGTCATTTTAACTGCTAGGAATGAGGAGAGAGGAATTGAAGCTGTCCAAAAACTTAAAGCTTTTGGACTCTCAGATGTGCTGTTCCATCAACTTGATGTCAGACTTATGAAATGGCCGAAGAGTGTCTCCGAACAAACTACTATGGAACTAAAGCAGTGACTGAAGCACTTCTTTCACTGCTTCATCTCTCCAATTCAGCAAGAATAGTGAATTTCTCTTTGGGTTACGGACTGCTAATGGTAAACATGCTAACAAAAGATTCATGCTTGGCTACCATAAACAAGAAGATAAAATTCTGTCCTGTTTCTGCAGCAGTAAATCCGCAATGAAGAGGTCAAAGCAGAGCTTGAAAATTTTGAGAGCCTAACAGAAGAGCAAATAGACAACATTTTGCAGCGGTTTCTGAGGGATTTCAAGGAAAATAAGTTACAGGAGAATGGTTGGCATCTTACAGTGTCAGTTTATAAAGCTTCAAAAGCCGTCACCAATTACAAGACTCATGGCAAGAAGATTTCCTAATATCCTTGTCAACTGTGTGAATCCTGGGTATCCCAAAACAGACATTACATGTAACACAGGACACTTTACCCCTGAAGAAGGTGCTAGAACTACTGTAATGGAGGCTTTGTTGCCTGATGGAGGTCCTTCTGGCCTCTACTTCAGTGAGATGCAGCCATCTACATTTTAGTATAAATAGTCCACAAGTATCTTCATCGCAGCGAAAAAATCATAACATTTGGCAAAATCTACTGTTTTGTTCTACCCCCTTGTTAGCATAAAAAATATTGTCGTCTTCTCTTTTGAGTAATTCTATCTTGAGGAAAAAATGCTTAGTATGTCCTATCCGGTGTGACTTGATGTAAAATGTAATACATCCTTATTAGGTAATTAAGATGTATTTACTTACCCAAAAAATAGTCTTGTTCTCATCTGTTAGCAATTGCACCACTTAAAAGTACTGTAGCAAGCATCAGTATTTTTGTTATTTCATGGTATGAGTACCTCATTTAATGTATTGTTTAGCTACGAGTATCTGCTAATAAAGTTATAAAAGATGCCACCAATGCCTATACGATTATACTAGACTCACCAGAGAAATTCCCTAACATCCTTATCAATAGTATAAACAGACATTATATGTAGGTTATAACATGGGAAACTTGAGTCCTGACAAAGGTGGTAGAGATCCTGTGATGCTGGTTTTGTTGCATTATGATGATCCTTCTGGCCTCTACTTCCATGATATTCAAGTATCCACTTCTCTACATAATAATTGCCCACAAATATCTCAGTTACAGAACGTATGTATCATTATACTCTCCTGTTTTCTTTTGCAAGGTATTGGGATTTAATAGTAACCATTATTTCAAATTCAAAGTAGACTTGATTTTAGTTTCTCTGAAGCATTTGGGGTAAAGATGTACTGAAAGAATAATATATTCAATATTCGAAGCCTAGAATTACACAAATTTCAATAGATGAAGAAACTTTTACACTGGTTGTCAATGTTCAGTTTAAGAGATCTTCCACTAACAAACTTCTGACTTGACCATTAACAACAACACTTAGCCTATCTTATCTCTTTGTTTCATCACGAAATTATAAGAGACATCAAATCACAGATGGAAACACAGGAATCATAAGTGGAAATGTAAAGTTTCCTCACAAAGGAGTCTGTTTCAAACTTTCGAGTGGCTCCTAGCAGCATTTCGTCTTGCGCAGCATCCCACAAAGTAGATTATTGACTGACACCACACAATATGATGGAAATTAGGATAAAGATAACATATATGAGAAATCAAGATGCAGAAACAGTAGTGTCTAAACTTGTCACAAGGTCCTTACTACAAAAAATGGATCATTCTAATATATAACCAAACCAAACCAATGAGGAACAATAAATATTCATTTGCAAGACTCAATTTATGAAAAGAGACTGTATGCAAGTTCATATTTTGGCAAACTTCAGGATTCCTTTTTTAAGAGAAAAAATTGATAATTCTCAAAATTTAATGTAGTGTAATTGTTTTTTTGAAAGAAAACAATGATAAATCTCAACATTTAAATAAGAGATTGCCTTACCAAGACAACAAACAGAATAACATTAAAGATAGCAACCACCCTCCATTCGGTTTTCATGTATTGTGCAACTCCGGCTCTGCAGACGCAATACAACAATAGCAAAGGGCAATGAAAGATATAAAGAAGGGGTGTGACAAAGAACCAGAAGATGTGAAAACTGTGTTTACTTGCAGGAATCACAATTGTAGCACTTGATGGCCTTGGAGTTCTTGTAAAGTTTGCAGTCTTTATTGGGAGTGATTGGATGGAAGCTCAAGTCAAAGTACGATGAATTCACAGCAGGATAACCACACCTATAAAAAAAATTTATAGCAGTTCCACACGGAGAGAGAGGGTGACTGAGAACCAAATTCCATCATTCTGAGGTAGGAAATTGTAGCAGACAGTCTTCAAAATAAATCACCAATAAATGTAAAATCTTGATTGCAGCCATAAATCCTAATGACAGGAAGTCAAAAAGGAAGAAACAGAGATGGAGAAAATCGTATAAAGGCACCTACTCGGATGGTGGTCGACAACAACCAGCTTCAATTGGAGTTAGTTTTGCTAATTTGTATTGTTTAAGAGTCTGCATGAAAACTAGCCAAATTTAGATTGATTTTGCAAGAAAGAACTGAGGTACTGAATCTTAAAATCATATGTGGACCTTATATTTTCTTGACAGGTTATTGCAGTCATCAGATTTCACAAGACAACTTCTCAGGTGATTCCAGTTACGGGTATGGTTCAGCTGGAAGATAAGAACAATATCATAATGAAAGATGTGAAACTACAGTGCTGATACTCTAAACTGCTAATGATAGCTTGAGACTGCTAATCTAAATGGTTAATAATATATTTCACCGCCACTTACTTGCTTTAGGAACCATGAACTGTAATCTTGAAGTTGATATTCCTTGTACCTGACCAGACAGATAGGTTAATAGCTGCCATTGAGTCAATTCCGGATGAAGGTGACGAAGGAAGATGATTTTCCTCATAACTTGGGGGAAGCCACCTATCTACTCATATTAAATATTTCAAGTACATTTGATCTGAAGGAAGTAAGCTATTAGTCAGTCACACACACACACAGAATTGCTTTAAATTTTCAGTCCTCCCTTGCCCCAGTCCCTCTACCCCTTGTTTCTTCTCAGTTTTAGTTCAACTTGGTCTCTAAAATGTAACTCAAACATTTGAGTCTTCTGATGCCAAGAAAATGGAGATAAGACGAATGAAATCAAAACTACTGCAAGTGATCTTACCTCAGACCTGATACTTTGTGACCAGAGCCACTATTTGTCACAATAAACCTACAAAAACAATGCAAGGAAACTAGTAATAAAATTTAGGGAACACATTACATCTGACAATTTAAAGGGAACATAACACTGGGCATGCCACTATCTATCACCAGTAGCAAAGAAAGAGAGTTAAACTGCAAAAATAGGCTAATACTGGGGAAACCGTGAATTGGATGTCTAAAATGACATGGCATATACAATCTTGCAGTCTCAATAGTTATCCAGTGGCAAAGACTGTCTCACAAAAGGTGGGCCACATAAAATAATGTGTTTGTTATCAAATACAACAATTAGCACAGCTAGAGGAAGATAGCACATATTGCATATTTGGATATTACACCATCAAGATTGATCAAGTACTAAAGTATGGTAACAATCTTTTAAACATGTGAAGCATATAGGTAAAGGACTGACATTATGAGAAAAGTTTCAAACATGGACTGTAAGAGATGCGCACTAAGACAGTAAGTCAGGCAACATTGGTAGCAGCATTAGTAACAATGAGGAATTAATAAAGCTAGAGATACAAGATTATTGTTAACAAATCATGCAACTAATATTTGCACAAATAGCACAATGACAACCTCCAACAACAATTACTAACGAAATTTGAATGGGAAAATCAACTACAACAACAAAAATAACTTACGCCAAGACTGTGAAAACCAAGATGGCAACCAACACCAAAAATAGCATGATCAGATACTGCAAGTTAGAAAGTTAAGGCGGATCCAAAAACCTAATAGGAAAGATAGTGCAAGATTGAAAAAAAAGTAAGAATCCAAACTTCACTTGACAGAAATTCATTTGCCAAGGATACAAGCCATAGCAAGATGGAGTTGTTCTTCCATGCGCCCAAGAAGCCAATTATTGATCTAAAATGTAAGAATGCAGAGAAGTTTAGGTATATGAGCAAATAGTAATCATCAAAAGAAGCAAAAATCCAATCAAATAAATGAATAAATCTACACCTTACATTAAAAAAATTAAGGCACCCAGGCCTAGTACAGGAAGAGTGAGAGACTTCCGACAGCCGTCATGATGAGTGCTCATCCACACTCCAAATCCTATGACTGCCACAGCTAGTAGCTACATATTGAAAAATAGAAGCAAGCATGAATATACAAAAAAATTACAGCAATCCACTCCAAATTCCTCTTCAATTTCAGATTAACACATTAATTCAACTAACTCAAACACAATAATAAAACGGTAAGCATTAAACAGAAAGAAAAAACTTTTCTGGAAGAAGCTAACAGAACTAAACTTAAAGGACTTGAAAATTCAACCATGAAAAGAAAAGCCCCCTCTAAGCATGTTTGAAAGAAAAGCACCCAAATTTCGTACAGTAACAGTAAAAAACAGCAAGTGAAGTAAACCTAGGAGTAAATATAGAAGATTAAGTAAGGCAATGCTAAACATCGTACAAAAGCAAAAACGAAAAGGATACATACCATGGTAAGAAAGTTGATCCATCTGATTACAAAAGTGCTTGTTCCTGTACTCATTCTTCCCTTCTACTGCCTTCTAGTTCTCTCTCTCTCTCTCTCTCGTTCAAACTTCACCCAAAGTGTGCGTTTGTGTGTGTGTGTGAGTGAGTGAGAGAGACAGTTGGTGGGTTATGTCAGAATGTCTGGTTGGCTTGGCTATGTGAAGATGAGTTTCTGAATTGGGCACTTCCACACCAAGAAAAGGGCAAGGCACGACAGGACAGGGGATTGTCTTCGGACAATAGAATGTATTCGGATAAAAATCAAGGTAAATCTCGTAAAACCCCAGAATTAAGGTCTTTATTTTAAATTATCCCTTAACTTTCAATTATTTTAATTTGTCCCTTAAACTATGTAATTTGTTTCAATTGAGTCATTACATAAAGTTTAACCGATAAATAAGACATATTTTATTAAAATTAACTATTAAATAAGACAAATACTATTAAAATTAACTGTTAATTTGTCTTATTTTAAAGTTAATGCTAACGCATATAGTTGATTTAAATAAATTACGTAATTTGAGAAGTAAATCATTTATGAGATTTACATAAAAAAAATTAATAAAGTAGAAAATAGTAAGGGCTTTTGTTTTGGTAATAATGATAGAGTGGTGAGGGTATTTTGGGAAAAATATAAACATTGACGCATGGTTCATGCTCTCAACAACCCTCACGACACGACATTATGATAACAGAAAGTTGTGTAGTGTAGTGTAGTGTAGTGTTGTAGTTAGTAGTGTACAAGAATCTACACAAAAACCATAGATTGTGCTTAACACGTGCCTGTCTGTCGTTGTGGTCGTGTCTGGGTTTACCGTTGCAAGTTGCATGGGCCCGTTATGGTATTAAATTATTATTCTTCAATCAATAACTACAAATCAATCAAAATCAATACTTATAAATTAATTATATTATAATAATTACATTTTCTTTTGTGGATATCTAAACACACCCCAAGCCTAATGACTCTACTAAATATGAAGCATCCCTTAAGACACTGAATCTAAGTGTCACATACACACGCTATTTGTCATGGACTCTGATGTTTTATTCGGTACCATAAACAAATAGAAAGATAAAAAATATGAAGAATGAAAAATTAAAAGAATAGATAAAATATTATTTTTTAGGATTAATTACATTATTAGTCTCTAAAATATTGAGTTTATCTTATTTTAGTTCTCAATATTTTAATTACATCATTTTAATTTCTAAAATATTAAATAGCTTTTTATATGTTTCGTCAAGTAAGCAATGTGACAAATAATTTTTTATCATAAATTTTTCATATGATACTTAAATATGAATAAAAAAATAATTTACATAATTCTTGACCAAATTTTTACTCAAATTTTGATTAAATAGTTACCCAAATTACACAATTTTAATTGTGAATTATCCAAATTTTGATCAAAAATTATCCAAATTATTTTTTGTTCATATTTAAATATTACGTGATAAATTTATGATCAAAAATCGTTAACAATCTAGACGACGTCTTCTTGAAAGACCATACAAAAACATATTCAATATTTTTAGGAATTAAAATAATGTAATTAAAATATTAAAGACCAAAATAAAACAAACTACATACTTTAAGGACCTTTAATAGAGTTACCCCTATTTTTTTTATGAGAAAAAGTATAAAAAATAGAGAAATTGATGAATTAATTTTTTTTTAACTTAACAAAATCTACCCCTACAAAATTAGAAAAAAAAAATAATTATGTGTTAAAATATATATTATTTACTTTTATATCATTTAATATATACATATATTACTTTTTTCATCTTTCCACTTTCGCATCCTACCAAACACACAAAAATTAATTTTTTCTACTTTTAATTTTTTTCTATCAAACACAAAGGAGGAAATGACAGATTTCTCCTTTAAAGGATATAAAATGTGACACATCCACTTTCCATCATTCTATTTTTCTCTCCTGTCAAACATGTAGAAAACTGACATAAATTAGAAATATCACGGGCCTTAAATTTTAGATCAAATAGACAAAAAAATAACAGTGCACCAACAAATGATAAAACTTTCCACTCATTTGAGTGGGGGAAATTACAAAGAAAGCTGATCAATAAATTGTTTGTATAATTGAATCACTAGCCCAAAAAAAAAAAATCATTGCTTAAATAAACTGTACTTACATTTTTAAATCTCTTCCACAATATAGGGCCTCCAACTGACGAGTGAAAATGGCATTATTGTGAAGAAATACCAAGAGGAATTAAGATTCAATCCACTGTAATCACTGAAGAACTCAGTTGGTCGGCCAGCTCGACTACGGAAATGCAAAAATGAAACGAGCAGAGGACAGTCACTCAACTCTGTTGGTGCAGGTTAAAATTGCAGATTTCATCTCTTCTTTGCCCAAGGTTGTTTGAACTATCACCTGTCCAAAGTAATGTGTATGTCAATGACGATTAGATTCTTTTCCAGATACATGTTGACATATATTAACACCAGAATAATGACCAATTATACAAGTACAGAGTCCATCCCACTAGCAAGTAGCACGGGTTCTATCCCCTTCCACCTACAAACTGATCTTCCATCTACCTAAAAGAAAAGATACTGTGGCACTATTTGCTGCACAAATGATGCCATATCATACCATTGCTAAAGTTGATTGGTAAAACCTGTAGGGTTTGGACCCTTTGGTACAACAATGAACAAATTGAGCATGTTGGACTTATTGGTAGTTTTCCCTTAAAACAATGGAAAACAAATATGATAAGTGTACTTATGACATAATAAGTTCAAGACTTTCGAACTGCTGAAAATATACAAGTTCTATTGAAGGACTAAAATTTGAGAGACTACTGAATTTTGATCAGGAACAAGCAACTACAGGTACAGTTATCTAGCTAATGGAAACTCAAGCCAAAGATGGTCAGATTCTAAAATTTTCACCTCTTGTATTTTGTTTCCTGATCGGACAAGTAACTTGTATTGATTCTCGAACATGGATGCCATATAAACCTGCCAAAAGATCGATAATAAGCATCTAAACTTGAGTCCAACTTAAGGCAATCACAATTCCATTGGAAACATAAAAGTGGAATGGTGACTGGCAAAGTGGTAATCTAAGTAACCAAAGTAGAAAATTTTCTGAGTTTGCTGCACACTTTTTCAACCCGTCGACAGGATATGATGCAAAAATTTGGCACCTAAATGTGGTATATACTCCAACACTTAGTAGTGAGTCTATTTGGAAGATGAGAATAGTTTCTAATGCTACAAACCCACATGGAGACTTGAGCAGCAAATTAATAAATATAACAAATAGAAGAAAGTATGACTGAATTGGAAGAATAAAATTGTTTATATGAAAGAAAGCCAATGCATTCTGTGTGACCAATAAAGTCATAAAAATTTGAAGGAATAACAGAATTGTCTACATGGAAAGAAAACCAAAGCATTCTTTTGGACCTACAAAAATTGTATTCTGTACAAAATGGGTTGTTGTTATGATCATTATTGTGCACTTTTGGACCTACAAATGACAAGAATTGACTTCCCGAAAATGACATCCCTAGAATTCTTCACTTGCAATTACTTAGGTATTCACTTATTTCAATCAACCAATTGAGGTGATACCTGAAATGTTGGGGCCAAACCAGGGCTCAAGAAAAAACGGCCTTTTGATACAGATAGGATCCCTTCAACTTGCTGAAGTTCTTGGATAATTGATTCCACCTCATCCCACTGTCCAGTTTCAAAAACAGAATGTGAGGCTTAGCAATGAAAAGTAACACATGCAGCTGCAAAGGATGAAACTGTGCACCAGTTTAGTTACCAATGAAACTTCTTCACATATTAAAGACAAACTCCTATCCAAAAATAGATCAACTCATGACTCATGTGAACTCATACAAATAGATGCATGACTTCCATTTCACTTCCCAAAGACAGCACGTGCCTGGCATGAACTGCATGGAATTATATTCCACTATGGATTTTCCAAATAATTCATCCTCGTAAAGGAAAACTGAACCAAAACCTCAGCAATTGATGAACTTTCCCATGGATCCAAATAAAGATGCATAACTAGAAGCATCTTCACATATATACAGCAATAAAACACCATATTTATTAGACATTATAAGCCTTCAGTTCAGAAATGTCAAAGCAAAAGGGCAGTCGAGGAAGAAAATTTAATAGGGTAAACAACACATGAAAACCATTAGTCCATTAGAATTTCTTCCTTATTGTACTAACATCTAATACAATATTAAGGAAAAATATCTCCACGAAAAATTTGATGAGAACCAGAATCCAGAAACCTTGTGAACTGAGTAGGCTCGGCAGTTGGCTCAAACAATGATCCAACAAGGTTTAAGATCATCACACAACAGGATATTGACGCCAAATACCTGGTAATACAGTTGATGTGCAACAAACAATCAACCAAAGAGCAGTTCACATGTCCTTTGACTTCACAAAAATAAGAAGCAAGAAGTAATTTATAAGAGCGCACTAGACAAGGTTATGCGTATAGACGAATATAGAATGTGGCAAGGTAGGAGGGACACATGCACCACTCAACAAGAACGCCCAGCAAAGGGTTCCTCAATTTTAAAAGATTACTAATGCACAAAATCATGCGATATTGACCAGTCATATTTCATGTCAAAGAAAAATATGAAATGATGTATGAAAAGTAGCAGCTCTATTCTCCTACAACACAATTGTGACACTAAAGCAATGTGCTGGACATTTGCAATGAACTATCTCAGTACATAAAATAAGCACAGAGGTTTCTTCTATTGAAGTTATCAGTATGCATATAGCAGGTACTCATGAACATGTGAAGCCCACTTAGTCCAACAAGAGAAGGAAAGTAGTTTTTTTTTTGGGGGGGGGGAGGGGGGTGGGGAAGTGGTATAGAAACCTTAGTATCTTCTCGGGCTACTTCTAATCTCCCATCTAAGGAATCATTATCACCCACTACAACCTCCAAGGCCTCTATGAGCGGATCAGGCTGCCATAGGAAAAGACAACACAACATTTAGCATCTTAATAAAAACTTCCTTGACAAATAACACAGAAGTGCTACGAAAGTTGGCATGAATTACCGTTATCTCTTTTAAGGATAGAAAAATACGCTCAAGTGAAAAGTCTATTTGGTGAACTTTCGCCTCCACAATCTGCAACCAAAGAGATTTTCTCAAGGGCTAGGAGAGAAAATGTTCGCTGAAAAAAGGGCAGTTAGCTGAGAGGCATTGATTGCATGAAACATACAATTAAGCTTTTCTACACATATAGCAAACTTAGACCTAATTTACATGTAACATAGGCAAGTGCCTTTGGCAATAAGGATTTACTGGGATATGTTCATCAAATGCATCATCTTTGTCTATTGGGAGCATAAATGCAGTCATGTATAACACACAATTGCAAACATGATACTTGTTAATCAGAAAACAAAATCAAATACCTGACCAATTTTGAAATACGATGCAGGGTCTAAAGTGGTATCCCATGACACTTCAGTCTGGTGGATCAGCGCTGGTACTCCTTCAACCTGTATTAGAATATTTAGTTCAAATAGGATTAACCATAATATGCTGTTAGAGAGATGATCTGATGATCATGGAGCCCATTATAAAGAGCTGTAGATGCATGACGTAAAGGTCACAAAGAATTGAGTCAAAAAATAAAAAATAACTCTAGGCCACTAGAAAAAATTGTCATGTTCAAACACTTCTTGGGTTGACAGCTCAGTATTCACAAGCTGAGACCATAAGATCAAAATATTCTCTTCGAAAACCTGTATCCTAAATAACATGGGCAGCAAACTTTGATATACCTCTACAAAGATTCCAAAGTAAGTAATCTTTTTGATGCAACATTTTACAACATCCCCAATGCTGAGTTTAGCCTGCAATTAAGATAACATAACGGCTTGAGAACAATGAAACTGCTATAAGAAATAGACAACAAATCTGCAGAAAAAATGAATTATGAAATCCAATTTTGAGGGGCCACGAACCTGCCCTCTATGCCATTCATAAATCATAGAATGGTACAACATTCCTTTATGAACATGCTTTTACAATATTGTAAACATTACCATTAATCTGGGGCAGGAGTGTTGCTGCCCACCATAAGTTTAAAATGATAAAGGCTTTTTACCATGAGATTTCTCTTTTTCTCAATCAATTCTTCCTTTTCTTTTGGCTTCACCGAAAATATTAGCCTCCTAGATTTTCTGTCCGCTAACACCACACTCACTCTGATTTTCTGCATGTATAACAAATCCAAATATTTTTAGGTTTGGGTTTGCTAATCAAGATTCTGATCACAAATCAGGTCATACAAACCTGACCAACAAAGGATGACAAGAATTTAAGTTTCTCTTGGTCATAAATCCTAAGAAGATCTTCAAGTTTCATGTCCGGTGGAACTTCCCCCTCAGCCCTATGATCAACTCGTGGTTCTATGCTTGAACCAAGAGAACTAGTCTTGCTTGCAGCCTCATAACTGCCAATAATGCCTAAATTTTGCTTGTAGCGGGATGGGTCTAAGCCTTTCTTCCTCAACCATGATTCGAAAGCTAAGAACTTCCACTTGGCAGCAAGATTGCGGTATGGTAGAATTCCTATCAGAGAACCAAAGGATACCTGCAAAAGGGATGAAATTTCAAAAAAGTACAAACAAAAACAAAAATTGCAATATGACAAAATTAAAGAAGAGCAGATCTCATCTAAGCATGCTGGAATGTCTTAAATGTACTTACGACAAATCCTCTTGTGCTAGAGCTAATCAATTCCACTTCTACTCTTCCTTCAGTCTTAATAAGATTTTCGGCCCTTGTCCAGTCAATATCTTCACTTTCCTGTAAATATGAGTGGCTCAGAACTTAGCAATGGATATTCCTTGGGTAAAACAAGTGACACTATTGAGAGATCAATTAATCAGACCTTTATGGGAGAGGTTTCAAGGAAGTTCTGAAGCTCCACAAAATTGCCATAACTTTCAGGACTCACAAGAACCATTTGCTCTCTACTTATATTTGAGGCTCCTTTAACATAATGGTCTAATCTATAAAAAAGGGAATGATTAAAAAGCCATAACTAGTAGCAGAAGAACAGAAATTGCGCAAACAGAAACTCAGGTACTTTTTTGGTTTTCCTTGCAGGGCAGCTTCTACAGAAATCCTGCTGCTAGAATCTGCTAATTTTCTTTCAGATGATCCATTTGTAGCAGAACTTTTCTCAGCAGACCCTATATCTGTCTGCTCAAGCATCTGTAATCCTTGAAAAAAAAACCAAACACAATTTAGTGTCTGAAGCTCAACTTATGAAAATCTGTCTGAAGAATAATTCATTTACCTGCCACGGAGTCATTCTCTGGCCCAGAATCTTTAGAGAGTGAGAGATTCTCAGTTTCCAGAGTTTGGTCAAGATTGGTTGATGAGTTTCCACTATTCAAATGACAATCAACAGAAGATTTTTGTTCTGGTTCAGTATTCAAACTTACATCATTCAGCTCCGGCTTTTCCAAGAGTGCAACATCATTAGTTGTTCCAGCAGACATAGATACACTTTTCGAACTATTTTCTTCAAGATTGGGTTCGATTTTCACAGGCTCAGGTTTCTTCAACAATGTCATATCACTAAACCTCTCTTTGTTCTGTTCTTTACCCATTTTCAGTGACAAATTTGGTTTAATTCTCAACCTCGACGATTTCTCCATCCCATCATCGTCTTCAAACATAGTTGGCTTTCGCAAAATAACATTAGGAACACTTTTTTTAGTATTTTCCACTTCATTTGAAACCTTTGGACTTGGTTTCTTCACCCGGGATACCATTGGTTTATCGTCAGATTGAAATTTGACTCCTTTCTTAGGCACAGGTCGAGCCAAATTCAATCCATCCAGTGAATTCACTGATTTCCCTTTCTCCAATAAATTGAATGGAACCTCTTCTTCTTCGTTATTTAAAACTTCACCCTTGTTCTTGTCATACAATTTCTCAATGTCCAGAGAAGACATATCTGGGTTTGATTTCCTACCCATGATCTGAAGAATTCAAAGAATCACAAGGCAAGTTAAAACAAAATCAAAAGACATGGGGAAAACAAAAGAAATTGAATTATGAAAATAACATGTTTTCTGTTCTAGTTTCCAGGAAAGTCAGATATTGCAACCCCTACCAAGTATTCAAACCACTCTCACTACAGGATTTCGTCTTCTGAATAAGATTCTAAACACAACTATGTTTTTTCATGATCATATTGTTTCCAAGAAAATCAATAAGCAGAAACGAGAAACACACACACATGTATGGGGAGAGAGAGAGAGAGAGAGAGAGAGAGAGAGAAACCTTGGCTAGAGTGAGTTTTGGGTCTTCTCCAAGCAATCGGCCAAACTTGAGCTCCATTTGGTCCCACTGGTCGAGGTTGGGGTCATCTTTAGATGCAAAGACTATTAATTTCTTAGGTTTTCGAGGGAAAGAAAGGTTTGCATATCTTCTATGACGCGAAAAGGAAGGGACAAAGCATCGAATGGTAGAGGAATTGAGAAGAGTGGTGGTGGCAGTGGTGAGAGCGAGACCATCCATTTTGAGAAATCACAATTAAATTCATCAGAAGGAATTACCAAGCATTGAGCTTACCTGGATTACTTCACACTGCGAAATAACTGTGTGTGTGAGAGAGAGAGAGAGAGAGCTTGGCAGTATATTGACAGCTTTTTGCAAGGAGAAGCAGTGACTGGAAGAAAGGCGGGATGAGAGAGAGAGAGAGAGAGAGAACAACCTAAAAGGAGGGAGCGGAAGCGGATGGTATAGATTTTTCCCTCTGGGATATCACGTGGCGTTTTCCTGATTCGTGGTGTTGGGCTCGATTGATGGTAACCTGCACGTGATTGTCACGTGTTTGGAGTCTTTGGACATGTATAGTGTCATTTGTCATGGATTGGAATCAGCTCTAGTAAAGATTGTTAATTTTTTTTTTTTTTGAAAGAGGAAGATTGTGACTTGAAAAAAGGAAAACTTCAGCAATTTATTTATTTTTTTGTCAACTGTTATGGATGGCCGTCTCATTAATCTTCTCTCCATTATAATTGAAGGCAAACTATTCACTATGGTAGTGTTTGGATCACCATGGAATGATTGAATTAGATTAAATTTGAATCCGAACTCAATTCAACCCAATGTAAAATAGTCTGGATTGGAGGATTATAAAGTTTGAATTACAATCCTATCCCATATTTGGATAGGTTTCATTTAGTTTGTGGGCCTCATTCACATGTGAAGATAAAACATGTGGTCAATGACCATTTCACTCTTGTGTAAAAAAATATTTTCCAATATCATATCATGTTTGGAATAAAATGAAAAAAAGTTCAATCCATTAGTATTGTCTTATTTACGAAAAAAAATATAAATCAATAAATTACGCATTTTGACAAAATATTGTAATAAATATTTTGTTCGTTTATTTAATTTAATTTGTACAATACACTTTCAATCACAAAAATCATATGCATCATACAAAAAAAAAATTCCAACATAAAAACAATACACAAATTGATACAACTCATGCCAAAATCGTTATTTGTTTACTAGTTATTCTCTGTGCCTTCAGGCACAGAGTAATAATAAAAAATAAAAAAACATATTTGTATTCATATCTAAAATCAAATTACTAACATAGAAAAGATATAACTGAATTTAAGTGTCAGCAGTAGTGAAGATGAAAGGTGGTGGGCGACAGTGGTGATGGTAGGAGATAATTATGGTTTGTGGTGGGTGGCAATGACCATGGTGGCGGTGGTGGCAGCGGCGATGGTGGTGGTAGTGGTGGCAATGGTGGTAGCAGTGATGGTAGTAGAGGTAGTCGTGGAGCGATTCAAAATACTATTTTTTTAAAAACTATTTATGAGAAATAATTTGTAAAAGTACTTTTAAAAAGTCACGTCAAACACACGCTTAAGAGTCTATTTTTTTTATTAAATTTAAAATATTAATATTAGCCATTAAATTAACTTTAAAGTCAAATTTAAAACTATCTGAACTGCGAAAAGCAAAAGTCATTTTGTTTATCTTTTGAATGAATTGTAAGATACTTAATTATATAAATTTCTAGAAAATTCAAAATTGTCTGTTTAAAAATAAAACTTAATTATTTTTTTTCAATAAATAGTAAAATTAATCCGAATCATATTAAATTTTTTTAATGACCAAAATGTAATTTATTTTTCATGAATTTTAGGGCATTTTAATATTATTACATGAATTAATAGCACAAATCAGATCAATTTAAAATATATTGCTCAAATAAAAATATTGATTTTTTTTTAGATTTCATCTATAAGGAAACAAATTGATGAACATAAAATTTTTAATATCTTAAAAATTGAAGATGTAATGAAACCTAACACCATAGAACAAATGTGATATTTTAATGAGAGCCAAACCCTTTCATTGAAAGTTAACAAGCAAGTCATATCTACAAATATGTAATTACATAAAACACAACCACAATTTCTAAAGAAAATGACTATACATTTCTTCAGAAGTCTTGTCTCACTCTCTCTCCAAAACCGTTCACATCTCCACAAACCCTATATCTCTTTCTCTCTATCTCTCATCTTTTTCTCTTCGTCGACACCGAAAGGATCCAATTCTACAATTACTGTCACTGATTACTTGGTGTATAAACATCAATTCCCTCTTGAAACCGTCGCAAAAGTCTCAACGGTATAAAACTATGTGAAGAACCCAGAAAAGTCTAATTCTATACTATCATATCTCGAAGGGAGTGGTTTGTCGAAGACCCATTTGGAAATTGTTGTTCGAAGAACGCCCAGTGTTCTCTCTGCTAATCTTGATCAAACCATCAAGCCCAAAATCAAAGTTTTCCAAGAATTGGGCATTTCTCCGACGAGCATTGCTGAGAAAATCTCGGCGAATCCACACTCTTTGCAACTCAGACTGTTTAAGGATGTTTATGTAATTTTATCATTTATCTCTTTCGCTAAATTTTGAATCCCTCCATTCACATGGGCTTACATAATCCTATGTGAGATGGATTATATCTTCTGCAACATACGACAGAGTAATTGCATTCCACTGAGGAACTCATTTCAATTTATTCAACCAAATCAAGGATAAGTGGGTCAATTCACTATTTTAATCCAATCCCACCTATAATCCCGCCAAATCCTTTCATCCAAACACCACTTACGGGGATTAGGGTACTATAAATCTCTCATGTTTTGGCCTTAAATAATTGTCGGGATACAAACTCAAGACATCTAAATTTATAATTAATTTTAATTACCATGTCAAAATTAATTTTTGTGGTATCGAGTTTTGATATGAATAACTCCAGAGATAGGACATCTTGGGGTTCCTTGTAAAGCATGTATAATGAAGCCAACATCGAATCAGAGAGCAGCAAGGAAAAATATCAAATGATCGATTTCATTGTCCTAAGATTGATTTTTACTCCTGTGATTTTCCCACATGATGTACTGTATATATATCATTTGTTAAATATTTAATGCAATAATTAAAAAAGAGACTCAACACAAATAGATACAAATTAAGTGGTTCGGTCAGAGTGACGTACTTTATTATGAAGGGTTACAATTACCTGAGTGTTTTATTGCTTAAGGAGTGCAAAATAGTTAAATGTGAGTAATGCTCCCCTTGTGTATGTTTGACTTACAATTTATAGACATCATTCTCGTAACATGTGACACGTTGGTGGAGATGACACCATTCTCGTAGCAAGCGAGACAGTTCCGTAAAAGTGAAATCATTCTTATAACAGGCGACAGTTCCATGGAGGTGGCGACATGCACCAATGTTTGCGTCCCACAAAAATCTTCTTGTATGTCAATTGTGAACTGAATCTCTTAAGATAACAAGACTGACTCGATCTAGCTTTCTTAATCATGTGGTGAACTTGATCTATATATTTGAATTGGATCTACTTTGTATATATGAGTTGAGCCAAATTTGCACTTATCATTTGTGATCTGGGCTTCAGTTGGGTCGGACCCGTCACTCTATTAATTGTCGAGATAATGGGACGTGGGTATCTTTTTTCAAAATTTATTTGGCTTTAAATACCACTTTCAAACTTATCCTCTTTTAAATTATATTTTTTTATCAAATAGTTGTCAATAAGTACATATTTTAAAATATTTTTAAATTCTTTTTAAAATATATTCCATAATTTCCCTTACCATAAATAGTGCATACCTAATTGACAACTTTTACATCCAATATCTAAATATTAGAATGTAAAATTTTCAAAATTCTTTTTAATATTTGTGTATCTTTTGAGTTTCTAAATTTTATATATATATACACACACACGTGTATGCACACACACACACACACTAATATATACTGTTTGATGTTTTTTTTTTGTTGAGCATGTTACTATTTAATATATATATATTATTTCAAAATTCAACTGATACACAAATATCAAAAGAAATTTTAAAAATCTCACATTCTAATATTTAGTTATTAAAAATATAAAAATTATTAATTAGGTATGCACTATTTATGATAGGGGTAAAATGGTTTTTATGATTTTTTTTTAATAATTATTCTTCTATCCCATTTATTTTAAAAATATATTTTATGCTATTAAGTCCTTAAGAAACCGGCCTCCTAAGCCCCTTAATTGTCTCTATTGGGCATTGCCTTATTATACCTCTTCCATGATCGGACAAAGACCCCTCTCTCTCTCTCTCTCTCCTGAGTCTGGTTTCGACTATGATTGCTTCCCCTAGGGCCCTACCTTCCTTGTTTCAAGCCAAATGCATTCAGTCAGTCAACAATGGGATTGAGCCAACGATTTTGGTGATGATACATAGTTCATAAGAAAGTCTCTGATGAGGGTTCTCTTGTTAATACAGGCATGCAAAAAATAGACTAGGTACATAGGAGAAGAAGCACCTCCACATAACACAATCACCTAGTACAAAATCTCCAACTTCATTCTCACTATTCAAAGAACCTTTGTTCACTTATACACACACAAGGACATCACACTATGCACCCCAAAAAAGAACCATTCAAAGACCAATATACCAAAATATTACCCAACTCGATCAATAAGTTAGGCCTGAGAAGAACAAGGCCAACTGTTAGACAAAACATCAGCTGCTAAAGCATCCAAATAACTTCTTTGGTATATTGCCAGTAGCACGACACTTCGCAGCTGTCTCCTCCACCTTGAGAAAATCTTCACCTCTTTTCGCTTCAACCATCGCCCTCTTCTCTTCTGCTGCCCTGTGGATTTCAGCCATCATATTCTTCATATTCTCTGCATATTCTGCCTTCTTCTTTTCAATCTTTTCCTGCTCATATCAATGTTTATCAGAACAATACTTAATGAAATATATGTCATGAGTAGAAAATTGTATCATATCAATAATAGGAAATCGATATCTTCCTATGAACATCACCTAGACAACTCTTTACCTCAATCTGCTTAGCTGAGCTTCTACAGATGCTCTCTTTGTGTTCTCCCATGCTTCAATAGTAGACAGCTTTTTATATGCCCTGACCAATTGTTTCATTAAATTGCTATTAACACGGATGAGAGCTCATCGAGTCATCGTACAAAAATTCAAGGAGCAAAACCTCTTATCACAAAACAAAATTGACAAACAATATTCCGAAGTACTTCAATTTCTTCACGCTTCAGGTTAATTAAGATACAGAACAAATGACTAATTCTTTTACCCATTTTTTGTAACAATTTGAGTTGGACCATGGATGATAGGATGGACATCTTAAAAGTACAGAATCTGTAAATTGGGCAAATTTACAAAAAGAGCTACTGGCCAGACTTTGAACATACCAAACAAAATTGTTAGGCTAGAATGATAATCATATGAGCTGAATCTCATATATTAAATTCAACATGTTGCATACGCCCTCTATCTCAAATTAACACTCATTTATGTTGGGATTTTTTTGTGGAGTCCAATTTTTTATGTTGATCCGGATGATGACCCGACCCGAAAAATGTTACGTGGTTTTTAATGGAAATTTTGTGGGCCTGTTTGTTTGTAGCCCGGTGCAAGCCATATAAAACCTATTTCTTTTGAGTGATTAGTGTTGATTTTGATTCTGTACGGCCTCCGCCCTCTCCGTAATCGTTTTTGAGAATAGTGAAATTCCTGCAGTTTCGTGGACGTAGACAAATTGTCGAATCACATAAATATTATCTTGTGCGTGTGATTATTTTTCCTTTGGCGTGTGTTTTCTCTATTCTTAATTCTCACATGTTTAGGAATTTCGTGTGAATTTCCTAACAATTTCTTCCCTGTTGGAATGTCCTAAAATACTAGTTCAGGGTGACAAGGCAATGTAAAAGATTGTTGATCTTCAAATTATCTTTTAAAAGTGATTTTGAAAAGCTGTTATCCATGTGAATATTTATATATTTTAAGAATACTAATGTAATCATATGTCTTTCCTTTTGGTGAGGATGTTTTAAAGAGCTGCAGTCCGAAAAAGGGATTAACGTTTTGGGACAGAGGGAGTATCTGATATTCTTGGGATACACATTCACATACACATACACATACACCTACAACACAAGACTAGACGTCTGGATACTTTCTAAAGGAGTGCCGTGGCAGTGACGGACATAAGTCGGACACGGGTGGACACGACGAGGACACGGGTGGACACGACTAGAATACCTCTAGGACGACACACGGCTATCTGGTAGATGTTATTATTGGAAAAATGCCATAATTAATAATTTTTTTTATTAACAAAAGACAGACTCATGGCAAATAATGAGATTAAAAATAAAAAAAAAAACAAAACAGATATGAAGATTAGTTCTTTTCTAGATCATGAAAATTAATAAAAGAAAAGTTCAAGCTTACTTGTTGTCTGCTTTGGTTTTTTCATTGTCTTCCCAGGCTTTGATCAAAGCCGATTTTTTCTCGTTTTCAACCTTTGCAAGGGCAGCATCTGCAAGAACACAACATGATAATATGGACAATGATCACTTATTTTACTCATCAAGTTTTGCACTAAAAGCCCAAAAAAAGAGAGAAAAAACTATGATTATAATCGCCCAGCAATATGGCACCTCTGTCAATTGCATCCAAAATTGAACGTTTTTCAACCCCAGGATCTGCAACCTCTGCCAACAAACCCAGATTTCAGAAAACAATTGCACATATTCATACACTAGAGAGAGCGAGAGAGAGAGATTACTTTCAGGGGTTGGAGGGGATTTGGAGGGAGGGACTTCCTTGGTTGGGTTTGGAACAAGGGCTTTCTCAAATAAGTCATGGTATGGTGTTTTTTCTTCAGCAGGGGACTCTTTGGGAGGTGTTGTGACTACCAGAGATGCTTCAGATTCAGCCTTTACTAGTTCTTCTTCTCCCATTTCTGTTCCTGTATTGCAAAAGGAAATTGGCAGAAAAGTTCTTCAATAAACTGAGAGAGAGAGAGAGAGAGAGAGAGAGAGAGAGAGAGAGAGAACTAGAAGGTCGTAGCTGGGTAGGTAAAATAGAAGTTGGAAAGTGCCAAAAATGGAAGATAAAGATTATGATCATAGGCTGTTTCAGTCGTTATTAACAATGTTTATTTGTTTTAGAGCGAATTACACTTTGTACCTTGAAATAGTTAAAATTTTTATTTTATACTTTGAGATATTATAATTTTTACATTATACCTTTAATGTATCAAAATGTTGCAATATTATCTTTTTGTTAGTTTTCGTTAGTTTTTTCATCAATGTCAATTAGTTATTTTTTTATGGAAAAAATAGCAAAACTTAACAATGGGTTACATTATAATATTTTTAATATTGTAATGAAAAATATTAAACAAGGTCGAGGGTCTCGAGGGCTTCATTTTTATTAAAATAATTTGACAAAAAAGAAAATGAAATATCCGTCTAAATGAAAGGAAAACAAAAACTAACACTGAATTTCCTATTGTATTAGGAAACCAAAAAAAAACTCCTATTGTAGCAAAAATACATTTTTTTCGTACTATAATATTATGATTTTCGTAAACTAATAATTGTGCCAATATTAGAAGTTGTGGTATTATGCATTTCTTTTACGTTTAAATCGAACAAATCAGTTAAAATCAATTTTTCATTTTAAACTCAGAATGTACGAGATTACATCTCGTTCTTTATTGTGAATCAAAACATGACATTGTTAATAATAATAAACAGACCCATATAGTCTCAAATTCATATTTAATTTAATTTGAACATGATAAACACGTTTAACTTAAGCATGTTGACCTATTTTCCAAACATTATTTCCTTACATGATTCCTTCCCAACACCCGCACGTACCTTGACAAATCCATTATCGACTCATTTATGCTGATTGAATCTAGATAGTCAAAAAATCGAGCGTTGGGTTTGCGAGGAAACCACCAAACATTTAAAACAAAGTTTTGAAGCAGATATTCCAATGGGCTAAGATTGAACAAGTTTTACTAATTAAGAACTATAATCTATTAATCTTTGTTCTAATGGTCATGATGGAATACTCTCACAGAGCACGTGGTTGCATGTGACATTCTTTACAATTAGGTCTGTTAATGGCGGCCAATGAAACGAATTCGTATCAGGTCTTAAGGGTTTGTATAAAAAAAAGTATTTCACTCATACTCAATTTATTTATTAATTCGTGTCTGACGAGTCATGTTATATTAGGTTCATATCATGTATAAAATTGTGTATAAACGAATCGTGTCGTTGTATATTTTTTTTTATTAATTTTACCTATACCTAATTCTTTTATTAATCGTATCGTGTCGAATCCATTCGTTTACGAAATAAATGACTTAATAAAAAAACTCAAGTCCTCTAATTTTATGTCATATTGACAAATCGTGTCAATATTTTTACACCTTAATTTAGAGTCTTTTGATTCTAATTAGTCCTAAACTATTAAGTAATTAATAATCGACACCTTTTTGAAAATAGCTGTTTGACTTGTTTCTTTATCCGCTCAACTCAATACTTTCGGCGGCAGTTGTTGTATCTGTATTGGTTGGGGTAATTAATCCAACCGACCAAACAAGTTTTGTTCTTGGGGGTAGGGGATCACACCGATATATTTTCAGAATAATACTTCTATTACCCTCACGTGTCTGGGGAGTTGGCTTGTTGTCAATAAATAGAAGGGTTAATCTCAATTTATATTTTAAAAAATTATTTGAATTTTAATTTATACCTTCAAAATTTAAAAATATTAATTTACATCCTAAAAAGATATAAATATGTATCAATATGCACCTGAAACTAATTACCGTCTATTTTGTTGTTAAAAAAGTTTGAATTAATTATAAATTGTACCCTTAAATTTTAAATATTTTCATATTTATGATCCAAAAAGAATTTCATTTATTAATGTTCGTTAAATAGCTCTCAATTGTCTGATGTTATAATATTTTCATGTCGTGTTTGAGTCATTAAAAAAATATTTTTAGTACAAAAAATATTTTTGTATCGAGTCAATTGCGTTGTCTCATATATTTTACATTTACGACAATTCGTATAATATTATTTAATTTTTTAAAAAAATTTAAAAATATTTTGCCTATTGTACTCGTTAAATAACTATTTTCTATCTACAGTTGTGGTATTCGTATTTAATTTTAATTTAATTGGACAATCAAAATATTTGTGTCTAATTGTAGATATAAAATAGTTATTTAACGAGTATTGTAAGATAAAAATAAGTATTTTATAAATTTTTAAAAAAAATTAAATTTTTTTTTATTGACTTGAATATGACACGAAGATGTTATGACACGATATAATTGAGAGCTATTTAACGAACATTAATGGATGACATTCTTTTTGGATCATAAATATAAAATATTTAAACTTTGAGGGATTCAATTTATAATTAGTTCAAATTTTTTTGACTATAAAATAAACGAAGTTAGTTTCAGATGTATATACATACGAATTTATATTTTTCAGGGTATAAATTGATATTTTTAAACTTTAAGAGTATAAATTGAGATTTGAGTAATATTTCAATGTGCAAGTTGAGATTAGTTCTAAATAGAATTCGAATCTAAATTTGATTAGTTAGATATGAATTGATATTTTTTATTAATAATTTGAATCCGAATTCGATATCTTATATTTTCATGAATAGATTATGACCGGATCCAGATGTCGAATTTGGAACAAACTTCTGAAATCATATTTGAATTCAGATCATATTTGAATTGTGTTGTGCTAATTTCTTAGCCGGTTACTTTAGCTTGTAATTAGGAGGATAAGCCCAAAACATGATTTTTCAAAAAGGTTCAGACCCACAGGCTTGGCCCAACCCGTATGATCCATGCACAACTCCCTAAATGGGACATTGTGTCACTCATTCTTTGATCAGCGGGCTCGGCCTACAGATGGATGTGGACCTAAGAATGGCATGCCAGTTCAGTGCGGTCCAGCCCGATACCATACCTTTGTCGCATTCTACTTTCTGATTCGATATGAGAAGCCCAGTGTGTCGTCTATTAGGACACGAAAATGGCCACACGCCCACAAGTAGGCCTGTCAATAGATGGACTGTTTGTTCGAACCTAATTTAAATTCAAATTCGATTAATTAGATGTGAATTAAAAAAAATTATCGATAATTTGAATGCGAATCCAAATCCTTCATACAATGATTCGAATATATATATAAGTAGGGAAGATGCACACTTATTAAATAACTTAAGTCGAATGTCCAGAGTTAGATGCTCAATCCATGTCATCCCTTTCAGTCTTAGAAAGTATTATCCCATAATCTATCATTCTCAAAAATTTTCCAAAGGGCCCTAACAAGATTAGCAAAACTGTAGAGAGAGTGGGCTACACCTAGCTTAGTCTATCCAATATCCAATTCAAAAAGAGCTTGGATTGTTGTTTTTCCTCTCTTTGTATAAAGTCAGTCAATCCTAGTGTTGAACATAGCCTATTGTCAAAGGATCATTTCGCTGGAATGCTTGCTTGAATATATATAGTTATTCCCATTAAAATGAATTTTACACTCTATTATGCGATATGGTTACAAATCAAAAGAAGAAGTCGGAAGCAGTTCATCGTCTGTGGTAGCTTGCTAATAGTGAGGAAGTCATAATCTATCTATCGGATTGCCTATTTGTCTTTCTGTTTGGTGAAGAGAGAATGGAAGATACTCTCAATAGGGCAAGCACCCAATATCTCGTTGAGTCTAAAGCTCCAGCTCAAACAGTTCAAAAAAATTAAATAAGTATTCAGTAAATTTGTATTAAAAACTATATTTTATTTGCAAAAATGCAACTTAATATAATTGTTTAGATCAAATCATATTGTTGGATCGAATATTCGATTTTTAACAGATTTGGATATATAATCAATTTGAATTCGAGTTGGACCTTTTAAATCGAATTCAAATTTTCGGAAGTTCGATCTGAATCTAAACCTAAAAGGCATAGCCATACAGCGAAGTGAAATAAAGTTGCAAAACTTGAAATTCATGTGCATTTTTATGGGTTGCATGCCATATTTATATTTAGGGTCTAATTATGGTGCCTAAAAATAAATTTTTGGTGCTATACCTTTAATTTTTATTTAATAAAAATGTGACACGTATAATTTTTTTATTATTCTTTCGATCAATAATTATAAATCATTAAAATCAAAATCTAGCAAATCAATTTTGTGTATGGTACCGTGACATTTATCCTCGTATTCAAAGGCTAAATTGGGCAGAAAGGTTAAAAGAGAAAAAAATTATCTTCCATTTACCCAAAAAAGCATATGTGGAGTACGGCGAATTATTTTCGTATGTTTCTTTTGTTTTTTTATTTTTGGGTTTCTATCATAGAGTCACTTTCATCAAGACGGCTAGACGCATCATAGATCCAAAAACCAAAGAGTAATAGAGCAAAGATAAGAGACAGAAACGAGACACCCTTTAGCACCGAATGGGGTGGTCTAACGGGGTATTGATTAAATTTTTCATCTTGAAATTCAAGTTTTAAAGTCCATATTAAAGTTTTGTAATTGATCACTATATTAGTTTAATTAAATTTGTTTTTAAGAGGTTTAACGAGTGAGTCTTTATAATTCCACCGTTGAGATTTTGAGTTTAGAAATTTATATTAAAATTTTGTAGTTGATCGTTCTATTACCTTAACTAAGTTTATGCCTGGCAGGAGTAACGAGTGAGCCCTCATGATCCCCCCACTCACTAAAAACGTGAAAATTTATCGGACAGTCTCCAGACGTTTTCCTTTTTCCTTACCCAGTTATTGAATAGAAAAAAAAATATATATTACACCATGTTTTGCAATGAAACAATTCTCTCTCTCTCTCTCTCTCTCTGTATAGCCATGCGTTAAAATGCAAAAAGAATAGCCATAAAGACTACTCAAAAAACAACTGCACCCGTGTAACTGCAGGTACACGTACTGTAATTTTTTTTATATTGGACTGTTATTAATTAATAGTTAATTTTAGTTTATAA